GCCATTTCCTCTTGTCCCATCCCTTGTTCCTTGGGAGCAGAGACCAGCCTCCTCCTGGCTCCATCCTCCTGTCAGGCAGTTGCAGAGAGCGATCAGGTCCCCCCTGAGCCTTCTCTTCTCCACACTAAACCCCCCAGGTCCCTCAGCCCTTCCCCATCACACTTGTGCTCCAGGCCCTGCACCAGCTCCATTCCCTCCCCTGGCCCCATCCAGCACCTCAATGTCTCTCTTGGAGTGAGGGGCCCAGAACTGACACAGTAGATGGTGCAACTGGTCTGTTACATGGTCTTCGCCTCCCTCTTTACAGCACACAGCTGCTAGTTGGAAAGAATAAGATCCCAGGATCAGGAGGAGAGCAGGGATCTGCTCCATCTTTGGGCCAATTAGAAATATCGGCACTTCTTCCCTGCAGACACCCATAATTTGGGATTTTCTGGAGGACTCAGTGCTCTGGTTGCACCTTGTGACATGGGAACTGTTTGCGCTCTGCTCAGCACATAAGAGCCTCCATCTCCCAAATTCCCAGGTCCATCCATTATTCCAGGCGACGTCCTGCTTACAGGGCCTCCCGGCATAGCAGAAGGCTGCTGTGTTGGTTGGAACCCTCCATGGACACCAGCCTCTCCTGAAGCCGGGGCTCACATGTGTGTGCAGGAGGAAGTGTGCCAACCTCATTGCATTTATAAAGCTGCTTATCTCCAAATCCAGTTGAAGAAAACAAATATTTGGAGGACATTATTGTGTTTGGATTGGGTTAAAAACTACTTTACTTCCCTCTGCTATTGACTCAAGTCTCTGCTGTGCACGTGGACGGATGGATGGACCCGTGCTGCAGGAATAAGAGCCAAAACACTAAGCCCAAAGAGGAAAACATAAACCAGTTCCACACGAATGGGAACCACTGTCACTGTGGGGCAGCTCCTTCAGCTCTCCCTGCTGGGATGCAGCCAGGAGCTTCCGACCCCAGGTTGGATGAGGACAGAGGCGGGATGGGAGGATGTTCACTTGGTGTAACCGGGAGTTAATCAGAAACAGCCCCGGATGCTCTCGCTAAGCTGATGCCCCCCAAGGGCCAGCAAAGGCGACTTGGCTCTGCCCAGAGCAGCTCCCCAGCTCACTGAGCACCACAAGAACAGCCTCAACCATTAAACAAGCTCCTCTTAATCATTACCCACCACATCCCTGCCCTTTGCATCCCCTCTGGATCCTTGGAGGGCTCCCAGGTGCCCGCCTTCTGCACCGCACGTTGATTGAGCAGGAGATCACAGCCCAGAGCCGGCACGTTCCCATGGGATA